TGAGCCTCTGTCCTAAGCTTCCAGGAGGGTGGCTTCCTTCACAGTAGGGTTTAGTGGCCTCAGCCAGGGCCTACACCTGAGACTCCTCTCTGTGCCCAACTTCCCTCATATATTAAGTACATTCTTATGAAACACATGATCCTTGATTCTTTTGGAGCACTCAAGGCTCATTTGACTGTCTCTTGCCTCTTCCTCCACATTTAGCTCATTTCCCACCACTAGCCTTGCCCATTATGCCACAGTAATACTAAACGGCTCCGTCCAAACCCCATACAATTGTATATGCCTTTGCTGACACTGTTTTTTTTTTCCTGCCAAGAATGCCCAATCCTCTCCACTTTCTTTGCTTCTCATCTATTTATCCTTTTAGACCTGTGTTCTCCAATATGGTAGCCGCAAGTCACACATAGCTACCGAGTTCTTGAAATGTGGCTAGTGGAAGGGAAAAACTGAATTTTTAATTTTATGCCATTTAAATTAATTTAAATTAAAAAAGAATATATGGAACAATATAAAATATGTTTCTATTAAACACACCTTTATTGCTTTGATAGGACTACATTTTACTTTAACTGTTGAGAAGCTGGTGTCCAAATTGAGTTGTTCTGTAACTATAAAATACACACTGGATTTCAAAGACTTTGTACAATAAAAAGAATGTAGGGCTTCCCCGGTGGCACAGTGGTTGAGAGTTCGCCTGCCGATGCAGGGGACACGGGTTCGTGCCCCGGTCCGGGAAGATCCCACATGCCGCCGAGTGGCTGGGCCCATGAGCCATGGCCGCTGAGCCTGCGCGTCCGGAGCCTGTGCTCCGCAACGGGAGAGGTCACAACAGTGAGAGGCCCGCGTACCGCAGGAAAAAAAAAAAAAAGAAAAAAAAAGAAAAAGAATGTAAAATATCTCGTTAATAATTTTTATATTGATTAGGTAGTGAAATAGCAATATCTTGGATATATTGGTTTTAATAATATATGTTAAGATGATTTTCTCCTGTATATTTTCACTTTTTAAATGTGGTTACTGGAAAATTTTAAATTACATACATGGCTGGTAGTATACTTCTACTGGGACAGCACTGGACTAGACCCTACCAGGTTTCGTCTCCTTGAGAAACCCTTCCCTAGTCACCCAGGCTAGGTGCAGTGGCTTCCTGGCTTCTCATGACACCCTCTTACATAGTACTTATGTCATTAACCAATACGGTCTCTTCATGTGTCTGTCTCCCTCCCATCTATCCCCAGACTATAGGTTTCTCAAGGGCAGGGACCATGTATTATTTTCCAGGGCCTGCACAGTGCCTGGCACATAGCAGGTACTCAGTAAATACTTGTGAAATAAATTAATGAGTGGCTAACCACATCAAGTTCATGATATCACAGGTATTTCAGAGTGAACTTTCACGTACAACTACTTTCTAGATTGATATGCTATCTTAGGGCTTCCTGTAGGTCCCGTCTTTTGGCTGAGTCTCTTGGTTACTGTGTGCAGTGCCCAACCTGGGGGGCTGTACAGAGCAGCCCTAGAGGCTAACCTTTCAGCCTTTCCTAGAACCCTGATCCTGAGAGGGTACTGAGAGGGTACAGATGGGTGCAGAGCAGGAATCCTGAGAGGGTACCAGATGGGTGCAGAGCAGGAATGGGCCAACAAGGATGAGCTCCAAGAGGAATGGAGGGGAAAAAAAGAGGAAGTGAGGAATGCAGGAAGCAAGCCTTGTCCCTCTGCCTTCTGTGGCAAAGTGAGCTGAGCATTGCTGCCAAGCAAACAGTGGTGTCGAAGGCCGGGGAGGAGAAGCAGGGCTGGCTGTGGTATGCCACTGGGTGGAGTTAAAATTTATAACAAGGGAGAGGCAACTGAAGAAAAGAAAGATTCTTTTAAAAATTCTGCTGAAGCCTAATTAGAAAAAAATTCCATTCCCTCATGCTAAGTTTTAAGAGACTTCCCTTTCAGAATTATTTTCAGTCTGGTGGTAACAGGCAGGAAGAGTGTCAGATGTTCACCAAGCTATAAAGCGGATACTCCCCACCCCCTAAACACAGAACCTGCCCATATTGCTTTTCTGACTTGGGTTATGAGGATACAGGATATGAAGTTGTCAAGGCATAGATCTTTCCAGATAGGAATGTCCCTTGTGGTAGATTGAAAACAGAATGGCTGAAGTATTTTGCAGCTGTTCCCACCAAAGAAGTGGAGTAGATTTTGCCAGGCCTTGAATCTGGGTTATACCCATGGGACATTAGACAGCCTGATGCAACCAGAGGCTTGAAAAGTGCTTGAACACTGAGGCTTGCCCTCTTTTGCTCTTTTTGGAACCCAGCCACCATGTGAAGAAGTCTAGGCTAACCTGCTAGATACTGGGGACATGTAGCTGGTTACCCTTGTGGATACCCCCTATATGCTAGACATGTATGTGACACCACCAGGGACCACCAGGCCTCAGAAAATCCTCCAGCTGACTGCACCATACAAGCAAAACTGGGCAAATCCAGCAGAAGAACTTCCCAGCTGAGCCCAGCCCAAATTGCCACCCCCCAGATTGGTGGGCTACTAAATGATTGTTGTTTGAGGCCTCTAAGTTTTGGGGTGTTCTTTCATGTGGCAAAAGCAAACTAATATATTCTGACGAAGAGGTGTGGAAATCCATAGAGAAAGAGCCACCTTACTTACACCTTATTATAACAGAGTGATTCAGAGTACGGGCTTTGGAGACAGGCAGATGTGGTTCCAACACTCGCATGATGTGCTCTCGGGCCTCTTTGGTAAAAATGACAGTACCTACTTCATAGGGTTGTAATGAGAACTGTGTCACCCAGCGTGGCACATTGGAATTAAGATAATTTGGGGATAGTTTATAGAGGAACAATTGTATTTACAAAGGTGTGGTCAGGGTTCAGGGACCCACAAGGGAGAGTGCAGTGCCCTGGGGCCATGTTATCACCGCAGGTGTGAAGAGACAAGGAGGTAACCAAGAGCTGGAGACACAGCAGGCAGGATCAAGAGGGCCACCTGGCAGCAGCCATGACCTTGAGTTGAGAGACGAAGCTGCTCCGCAGTGACACGTCTGAGAAGGAGCTGGAGGAATAAAAACTCTGACCCACACTTTTTCCTCCTTATTTCCTGCCAGTGTTCCTTGTTGGCCAAATCCAGCTGGGAGCCACTGGACATACCGATCAGCCTCCTGTGGCAAAAAGTAAGGTGACGAAGGAGGGAGAGTAGATCTGGGGCGAATAATGTGCATCAAAGAACTGAGCATGTACCTGACACCCAGTAATTATGATGAATTATCATTCATCTATAAACAAGGTCTGTAAGAGGCAGAAAAGGAAATGAGTATCTTTTGCTAGGGTGACCTAGAGAATGTTCATGGACAAGATATGCTTTGGAGGGATTGGGAAAATAATAACAAAATGATAAGAGCAAATATTTATTTGGAATTTACTATGTGCAGGTACCATTCTTTACACCTTATGTATGTTAATTTATTTAATCTTCATAACTATCTTATGGGGTAAGTACTATTATTATCCCTATTACACAGGTGAGAAATTGAGGCAGAGAGAAGTTAGATAACCCAACTGAGGTCACACAGCTAATAAGTAAGGGAGCCAGGATTTGAACCCATTTCAAAGGCAGTGTGGGGCGTGACTATTTTTTTTTTTTTTTTAGGCACAGAGCTAGAAAACTCTTATAGAGGAAGTAGGATGTTATCCAGATGGAATAGAGTGCGGGGTTTCTGCCAGAGGATAGCAAGAGACAGTCTGGAGAGAGCGAGGTAAAGACCAGACTACTGGAGACCAGAATGATAGGCTGAGGAATTTGCCTTTATTCTGATGAGTGATGGGAAGCCACTGAGGATTTCTGAGAAGAGAAAGGCAATCACAGCAGAGTGCAAGGAAGATAAATCTTTGTGCGGCATGAAATTAACAAAGCAGGGAACAACGGGAAGCCAGGCAACCAGCTAGAAGATACTGCAGTAGTCCAAGCACCAGGAGATGAGGGCTTAAATAAGATGACAACATCGAGATGAAGGGCAGGATGTTGGAACTGCACGCAAGGGAAGGCTCAGCAGAACGAGGGGACTGAGGAGCTGGGTGTGTCAAGTGGTGGGGGTGCTGGAGAAAGAGAAACAGGACAAGAGGTTTGGGACCCAGGTGAAAGGGTCACGATGGTATCAGATGGACCACTCAGCCACACTTAGTGTACAAGTTGAGAAAAAAGTGTACGTCATCCAGTCTTGCGTTTTTTCTAGTTATAACACAAATGCCATGAAGTTGTACCAACCCCTAATCAATTGCAAAATAACAACTGGTTTTGCAATATCAGCTCCTGGCAGATTCACTGGTGAGGCTGGAATAAGGATGGGGAGGAATTCAAGGACTGCCCCCTGTAGTGGTAAGAGACCAGGGTTGCAGGATATTGTGAGATTCGTTCTGGGGAAGCTGGAAGGATGCTTGGTTGCCCGGAGACAATGCTGTCCCCACGGCAGCCCTGGGTTTCCTGCAGTCCCAGATGTATCTTATTAAAAGGAAAGAGGGATGGCTGGCTGACACATTTCCCGAAGTGGCATTTTCAATGTCCCAAGTCTTGGTAACTTGTTTATAAGTGGCACTTACAACATACAAGGGAATGGGGAAAGTGGGGAGAGGAAGAAAGTTCTCCTAGGGTCTCGAGCACATGAGGAGTTGATCTTGACTCTATGATTTCAGCTCGTCTAACAGACACGGTGTGCAGAGCCTCCTTGAAATCCCCCTGAAATGAATTAGCCTAAAGTAAAAGTAGGTGTTTATCTCAAGTCTTTGCCTCGAATAGCTGACTACCTGTTGGAAGAAGGTTCTGATCGATGCAGACCAGAGCAGCCGTGCGTGAGCTGTTACACAGCGGTTAGTATTGATCAGAGCTAAAGGCTGCCGATAGGAATGTGGAGTGAACTGACAGGCAGAGAAGAGGGAAGGAGGAGGCAGTCTTCGCTGGTGGCAGCCGTACAGAGGAAAGCCGATAAAAAGTCAATTCCACTTAACTGAATGGCTGCTAACTAAATATTTTTGGGGCTACAGCCTTCCCAGGTAGCAGCTGGAGCATCTCTGTTCCAGAACTGAGATATCAAGCAAGAGCTGGGCATCGACAGGTGAGATCACAGGGCCCTGGTGATGGATGGGGGAAGAAGAGAGGCCCCCGAACAGAGGGATGGGTGGCCCTGGTCTTGACTGAGCTGACTGGGTGCACTGGAGGACAGCCATGGACCACGGAATGCTGCTGATGGGAAGGAAAGGGACAAGAGCCAGTCTGGGATTTGTGACACAGTCTCTGATTAATTAGTTCATTTAAAACCTTGATTCTTTTCTCTGCACTTAAGGAGTATTGAAACTAACTGCTGCAGAAAGAGAGAGTTGACCAAAGGCTGGTCCGTTCACAGAGAGAGGCAGAATGGTGCAATGCTGAGCTGCTACGAGACTGGCTTTGGGAGATTCGGTGCTCACTGATAACTTGTTTTCTGAACTTGCACGTGCTCAGGATTGCGCTTCTCTTTCTTGAATTAGGTATGACTATGTAACTTGTTTGGGCCAATGAAATGTGTGTCCCTTCTGGGTGGACATTTAATTGCTAGTGAATAACTTTCCTGCTCTTCGCTTGCCACTGTGATCATAGGTGATTGTGTTCATATGGATAAGAGCAAACCCCCTGGAATGTTAAGCTAACACATGGATAGTTGTCCAAAACTGCACTGCATTTTGTGTGAGTGAGGAATGAACTTCGATTACGTCATGCTGCTGAACTTTTGGGCCTGTTTGTTACCCAGCATAACCAAACCCTTTCTGACTGGTACAGGGGGATTTTGGTTTTTAGAATCCTGTGTCTACCAGTTGCTAGTAGTTGTGTGATTTGGCCCATTGCTTAATCCACCCATATCTTGGACTATGTATATAAAGCATATAAAAATAGTAACAACAACAATAAAAATTATGATGTATTGAATGCTTACGAGGTATAAGCATGGCATAGGCTCTGCTTATATTAATTCGTGTAATTCTCAAAGCAGCCCTGCAGTAGGATCTATTATTATCCTCATTTTACAAATGTGGAACCCAAAGCTCAGAGAGGTTAAAAGACTTTCCCATGGTCACACAGCTTGTAAATGACAGGCTAGAATTCAAGCCTAGGCAGATCACTCCACAACACTTTTTCTTAACCATTTTCCTACCTACCATTTTCCTGGACCTCAGCTTAGTCGCTTAATATATAACAGGTCTCCCAGTATAGGCTCGGGAATAAATTTACCAGTTGGCTCACACTCAAGCATTCTGTATGGGAGGAGAAGAGAAAAATGTGGCTAGTATTTCTTTCGCTCTCTCACTAGTCTGTCTACACCATGCCTTCCCACAAGTCTCTGTGAGGTCTGAGCCTGTCTGGAATAACCTTCTCCATTTTTTCCCTCAATCTTGGGTTTTTCTAAGGCTCCAGATCAATTCCCTACTCATTCATGATACAAACAAAGAAACTCCTTATCAGTGGAAGAGACTGAATGGACTTCTGTCAAAGGATGCCATTCTGAGGAGTTTCTCATGTATAAAATGGGGGTAATAACCCCCATCTCACTGGGTTGTTATACCATTTTTTCATCTGTTTTTTAACATCATATTCTAGGTTCTAGACACTGTGTTATGTGATTTTATATGTGTGTGTTTGTACACACACATATAAAAGATCTGTTTATCTATCTATCTACCTACCTATCTATCTATCTACTTACCTACCTACCTACTTAACGATCTATCTTTTAATCTTCACAGCAATCCTAGGAGATAGATAACATGTCCATTTTACAGATGAGAAAACTGAGGCTCAGAGAATTTAAATACTTTCCCAGAAGTCACTCAGCTAGAATGAAGGATGGGGAGCTAGTTCAAATTATAATCCCACAGCCTGGTCTTTTTTCTGTTAAACTCGAGTACCTTTCTCCCTCTTGCGTAGTTAAAATAGAATAAGAAGTTAAGATTCTCTTAGAGTACAGGGCCTGGCACATAATAGCAACTCAAGAATTGGTAGCACGAATTACGGTTCATTCATAAACATTTATTTATTTATTTGTTATTTTACTTTCCTTTATTTTTTTGCTGTGTGGCTTGTGCAATCTTAGTTCCCTGACCAGGGATTGAACCCAGGCCATGGAAGTGAAAGCAATGAGTCCTAACCACTGGACCACCAGGGAACTCCACATAAACATTTATTGAGCAGCTTCTATGCACTAGGTAGTGTGCTCCAAGAAATTCCTAAAGGAATTTTTCAAGGAATTTGAAAACAAACATATAAGGAAATCATTTCCTGTCCCTACTGCCTTTCAAGACACTCTTGGGCTGCCCACAGCGCCAACTCCTTAGAAAGCACCAGAGGGGATCCCAGGCCAAACGAGTGATGGGATACAGGGAGTGGCAGCAGCCCTCATCATGCTGGTGTGCTTTCTGAGTGGGTCTGGGTCCATAACCTGCCTGCAGGCCATCCGGGTAGCTGTGTAGGGGTGCGTGGAGTCCCTGGAGAGCAGAGCAGTGCAGAGCAGCTAAGACCCTGCTGCCTGCTGGGCACCTGCCATTCAGCATCGCAGTCATGCCTCACAACAACCTTTGGGATGGCGATGAGAGTTGCCTCATGTCCAAAACAGGACCGAGTTTACCCACGACACCACCCTGCCCTTTCTTTTTTTTTTTGCGGTACGCGGGCCTCTCACTGTTGTGGCCTCTGCTGTTGCGGAGCACAGGCTCCGGACGCGCAGGCTCAGCGGCCATGGCTCACGGGCCCAGCCGCTCCGCGGCATGTGGGATCTTCCCGGACTGGGGCACGAACCCGTGTGCCCTGCGTCGGCAGGCGGACTCTCAACCACTGCGCCACCAGGGAAGCCCTCACACTGCCCTTTCTTTATGACCTTAGGTGAGGAGAAAAGGATGGTGACGGAATTCTCTTTGATCATAGTTAGAATTTACCTGGATTGAAATGTAGATTCCAGCCAGCCCCAGGGGGAGGAGAAAGAGTGCTCATATTTCATCAGCTGAACCACCATGAGATCCCCAGGAACAAGGGGCCTGACACTACATACCTCCTGCCTTTGTGCCGGGGATCATGCCAGGCTATCTCCTTATACCTTCCCCACATCCTCCCATCAATCACTGACCCCACATGATTGACGAGAAACTGTCTCAAAGAGGTTAAGCGGTGCCTAGGATTGGTCCTTATTTTCTCCGTGCCCTTATGACAACATTTAATAATTTTTCTGAGTAACTGGCCCTTCTAAGTACCTTAATTAGGGAGGTCATCTTTGCTCTCTGCTTGTCAAACGTTAGTTACTTGAGAAATGCCTTCCATTTATTGATATATCAATGTATTGGGGTGTGTGTGTGTGTGTGTGTGTGTGTGTGTGTGTGTATGTGTGTTCATGTGTGCATGCGTGCCACCTCTATGCTTGGGTTCCTCTCAACCAATATTTTGGGTATATGCCGAGGGGAGTGTGCTCAAGCTATTTTGAGTTTCTGTACTTAACTCCTAGCAACTTTAATAAACTTCATTCCTTTAGGTAGTAGACTTAATATTTTAAGTATGGTTTTAATTACCATCCTTCTCATGTTGAAGGAAAAACTGGGAAAAGGTGGGGGGAAAATCTAACCTATGCGCATTGCCAGTGATTTCACTCTTTGTGAGAACGAAGGCCAGAATTCCAGAACACAGAGGCTAGAGTCTCTCTAAATTGTTTCTTCAGGCATGGGCACATCATGCTTAAATCATTTTGAATTTCGCTGGGTTCTATTCTTCCAGCACAGGCTGTAAACATTTATCTTTGGGCTTTCCCAGAAATGTGTCTTATGGAAGGGATTAGCTGTTTGCGCATTTAAAGTTCCGAAGGTGAACTCCTCTAACCTACCCCACATAATTAAAGTGGAAAATTTCTGGTGGAGAGAAAAAAAAAAAACCATCAGGGAAAATACCATGTTTGGGAAGAGAGCTGGACTCCTACGGTCTCAAGAGATGGCTCTGCATTCTCGGGCACTTAATTATAACCCATCTCGCTGGGCGCTCTAGTTCTTCCCTCTGCTCTGTCTTATCTCTGCGTTGAGATGATCAGCAGCTTGAGGGCGTGGCATTGGAGTGGGGAGAGTGGTTCGTTTTACGGTATAATATTTAAAACTGACTCAATTTTTAATGTGGAGTATACAAGGAAGAAAAGATCAAGTAACAAAACAGAGCAATAGTTTAATTTTTTCCGATAAATCCTGTCGGTATAAAACAAAACCAATGTGTGGAGCTGGGTTTGAAAACTCAAATAATACAGAAAAAACCAAAATGAACATGAAAACCCCCGCTCTTCTCACCCGCGTTTGGTTCTGCTCTACAATAACTATCACTGTTAACATTTTCTTGTGATTCCTTCCTTCAATATAAAAAATATATTCATCGGGGCTTCCCTGGTGGCGCAGTGGTTGAGAGTCTGCCTGCCGATGCAGGGGACACAGGTTCATGCCCCGGTCCGGGAGGATCCCACATGCCGCGGAGCGGCTGGGCCCCGTGAGCCATGGCTGCTGAGCCTGCGCGTCTGGAGCCTGTGCTCCGCAGTGGGAGAGGCCATAGCTGTGAGAGGCCCGTGTACCGCCAAAAAAAAAAAAAAAAAAAAAAAAAAAAATATATATATTCATCGTATAATTTTAGCAGCACCCAGAAAGCCCTCGTTTCTACCTATTGTCTGTCCTCTTTGCTATAATGGCTGATAGTTCACCGTTACAGATTCACTGCTTTCCATGTGTATGCTTAAGGTACTTCTTTGTTTTTAATTTTATTTTTATATTTTATTTTATTTTTTTTTGCGGTACGCGGGTCTCTCACTGTTGTGGCCTCTCCCGTTGCGGAGCACAGGCTCTGGACGCGCAGGCTCAGCGGCCATGGCTCACGGGCCCAGCCGCTCCGCGGCCTGTGGGATCCTCCCGGACCGGGGCACGAACCCATGTCCCCTGCATCGGCAGGCGGACTCTCAACCACTGCGCCACCAGGGAAGCCCTGGAGCAAAATTTGAACCAAGGAAGAGGCAGTCAGGTGCTCTCAGTGGAAGGCAGACTGCTCCTGGGCTAATCAACCTTGGTTTTACATGAAAAGAACCTGGGGTGCTTTAAGATGTTCAGAGTACTGAATCCCACCCACAGAGATTCTGGATGTCCTGGTGTAGGGTATGGTCTGAGCACCCCCTTGATTCTAATATGTAGCCAAGGATGAGAATTACT